TTACTTAAATTATGTTAAATAAATAAAAACTTTCAATTTTTGGACATTACTTTAAAAAATAATCTTACTTTATTTTAAGTTTCAATAAACTGAATATATCAAATATCATAATACTTTTAAATTCGCTAAAACGAAGTATAAAAAGACAGCTTTCATGGAAATATAGCTAAAAATCTGTATTAAATATTAAAAATCAGTAAAAATTATAAACTTTATACTTAGATGATAAGATATAATCAATGATTTATATAATAGATATAAAATAACTATTAATCTACTAGTTTATAAAATTTTGTATTAACTTTAAATATATCAATCTTTTTTTTAAAGCAAATTTTAGTATATAAAAAGAAAAACTATAATGATATAGGAAATGAAAATAATTGTTTCGTAGCAAAAAAGTTGTCTGCACTGACAGTTACATAGAAATTTCAGATTTTTATTGTTTATTAAAAACAAATGCCAAAGAAAAGATAATCATTTGTAAAAACCACGTATTGAACCAAGTTTTTCGTAACATATTTTAATAAAGAAATGAAAAAGTCTACCTTCTATTCAAGATAACTTTTATGTTTTATTTTATGTAACAACTTTTACAGTTTTCACATCCTCATAGTACAGCAGTTCTTTCCGAAAATAATAAAATATTTAATAAAGTAATTATTCCCAAGTAATTTAAAATGCTTTAGAGAAAATACTTGGTTAAAAGTAATTTTTGAAATTTAAATAGCATTGTATATTAACTTAATTGTTAAAAAAAGGTTACATAAATAGTAATATTAATAAAATAAGCCCATAAAAACACATTACTCAATAACTTAAACACTGAAAACTTTAATGATTTAAAAAAATAATTTTGACTTTTTCGGTGAAAACATAAAAAAATAAGTATGTTTCACTAATTTTATGATTAAAACACAGTTGCTTGGTATAATCATTAAATGTTCTAATTTTTATATTATATATGAATATAATATGTATGTAGTAGATGGCTAGTAATGATCTGTAATAAGCCTGAATTTATAACGTTTTCCTAATATATAATAAATTATATAATAAATAAATTAAAATTGAGCTATGATGTTTGTTTGATTCAACTAGGTACTTGAACGACATTTTGCCGAGTTAAGACTCGTTTTTTTTCTAAGTAAATAAAAAATTTGAATATTGTTAACTATATGTCTCCCCGGATATACTACAATTCTGCTCATATAATCACAAATTTAGTCTAAATATCTAATGATAGTAAATAGTCTCATAGTATACAAACATAATAGTACAAAATAGTAACAAACAGATAAATATACTAAAATAATATAATTTTTTTAACGGCGTATTTTTGAATTTTTGGTATAACAATCGTGTCCGTCGCTTCAAATGCATCCTATGTATTTGATTAATTAGCTTCAGTCAATTAATATAAGTTAAAACAAAAAAATGTAGATTATCGTCTTACGTAAAATGTACCAGCTATGCAATTTCGAACTGAAGCACATCAGCATCATAGAAAAAAACGTCACTACATATGATCCGTGTATTCCTAGTGTGACTAGACGTGCCGATTTTGGCGGGACAGTCCCGATTTTCAAACATATTTTCTGTTAAATATCGTGATCAAATCGGTAAAATGTAAAATGTACCCTTGTTTTAATCGACGTCCCGCTTTTATCCCGATTCCGAATAATAGCTATTTTTTTCTTATTTTCACTTATGGCGTGTATATTTTATGTTTCATCAGATCATATCAGATATTTTATACAGTTTTTATAATCTATACTGTGTTATTAATTATTATCCTAGAGACCTAGACATTAGTTTTTATCATTTTATGATCTGGACTGTCAATCGGCTATAGGTAACCACAGTTTCAGAAATGAAACCCAAGTGGTTACAACTGGTAACGAGATATCGACGTCTAACATTTTCATTTTTATCAATAAAAATGTTCATAATTACTTTATTTGAGTTTTGTTTTTTATCCCATTTTGTTTATAATATTTTTTTTGTAATGTCTCATTTTAGCATAAAGAAACAAAGGTGTACCCAAAACCAATTATTAAAGGAGATTAACCACTCCTACTAATACTATTTTATGATGAGGGATAACTCACTTCCTCTATTTTTTTTTTGAATATGTGTCCCGTTTTTATGGAATTTCGATCTTGTCACTTAATTGATACTGTACAATTCATCGATGACAAAAAACAAAGGAACACGAGTGAGTATAACACAGCACTCTAAATGTGAACCTGGTGCAATGTCATATTTGTTAGTCGAATCTCACACTCTCTCCGTTGCATATGGACTAATTGATAACGCTCTTTTCTTCATGTTAGTAAAAATTATTCCAAAAATAAAACTCGTCAGAAATATTTGTTTAAAAAAAATGATAAAGTATTGAATATGATCATATTTGTGAATTTAATTCACCAGAAAAATAGATCGTTCCAGCCCATTTTGCTTACTAAATTAAGTGATGGTAAAAATAAAAATTATTACAAGTTACAAGATATTTAACCCAGATTCCGTACTGTTATAACTCCTATAATTTTATTATGTTAAAGTATAGTTAAATTGGTAAGAATATAAAATGTTTAAAAAAATGGTATACAACGAAAAACGTAGCAGTCAATTATTATTAAAAAGTTTTTAATCCAGGCACAGAATAATCTGTGATCCAGGTATCAGTCCAAAGGTATGATACACTGACCAGCCGTTTGGAAACTTTCTGGATGTTTTTGTTGAACAATAAACAGCTTAACAAGTGTTTAACGGGATTATAATATTGCGATGAACTTCTTATTCAACTCAATACATGTCCCTAAATTTTAATCAGCTTATATTTTTGAACTGTAAAATGTTTATACAAATGTATAAAAAAATATGCAGAGTAATTTTTTTGTCATAACCCACTCAATTATTTATAAAATATAAGTAACTTAAACATTTTTTTTTTTTTTTGGTTACCTTTAGTTACATATAATTTTTTCAAATATTTTAAATTATGCACATTCGTGCATAATTTCCCTTAACTTTACATTTTACCACAAACCGTGTGTAGTTATTTCATTTTAACAATAAGATACGTGATCATACACCGTATATTTTTATTTTCACCTTGTAACTAAACAAACTTAATTAATTCTCTGATTCTATCTTATTCCTATACTAAGTTCCTTTTATTAATTCAAAATTTATTAAAATAGGCATTTTGTGAAGATTTGAGATTTTTAAAAAAATTCTTACTGGTCGCTCAATGTGTTTTTAGTATTTTATCCCAATAATAACCCCCTCTAACCAAAAAAAAAAACTGCTTCAACTATTCAATTTTTGATCAAATATTAAGATTAGTGTATCAAAATAGTTTGATTTTTACTGTAGAATACAAATTTTTTAGTTTAAAAAATTTATGTTAAAAATTGATAGTGTGGAGATCTTAATTAACGTCATTATATGGTTTAAAACATTTTTTTATGCATTTTTACTAAGTTTTATGTACAATATAAGAAGAAAAATAACTATTCACTAATCTTAAATATTTTTTTAGCTTCGATGCGAAGCTGAGAAAGTATTAATTTTACTATGATGTGTTTTTTTTTTGTGTGTCTGTTGCCACTTTTTCTCAGCTCTCACCGAACCGATTTCTTTCAACAATACGTCAAAAGATATCAAATCGTATCTAGTCGAAGACATTACCCTCAAAAATTAAAAAAATTTCCCTTGTTGTTCGTAAATGGGGGAAATCTACGAAAAAATTACAAATTTTAAAATCACTAATTTTCAAAATTTTTTTTTACTTAAACTGCCATAAATTTTTCAAAAATGAACAAATCAATTTATTAATTTTTTTAAGAATTAACTTTTGAAAGTATTCTGGAAATACTGACACCTTTATATATACATAAAATTAAAGCTTGTGTAATAGACTTTATTATGAAAAAAAAAAAATTTTGGACTTCAATTTGTTTTCACGATGAAAATAGTTACCGAATGCTATTTTTGTGAGAAAATTCTCGATTTTATATTTTACATTTTTAACCTTATTATGCTATAACGTTTTGAAAAATATATGGATCAATATAATTTTTTTATGAGAAATAATATTTTTTAATAATCTTTTTTCCATTCGACATACTTTATCTTAATCAGAATATTAATAAGGAACTAGCAGATCATGTAGCTTTTGGAATAATATACCAATATTTTAAAATTAAACACTATCTAAAGATTTGCATCGAAGCATTTTTTATGATAGTGATTTTAATCATATAATTGATGGTTGGTCTTCATACACTTTTCAATTATTTTTTTTTATCAAACAACTCTCATTTATTTTAAATTTGAAATGAATGAATATAATAAATAATATACGACTTCAATTTTATGTAATAATTAAATTATTATCAGTATAAATTTATAAAAAAATTAAGCAAAATCAGCAAACCTTTGTGAAGTTACACGTTTATTTGATTTTAGTAATAAAATTTTGAACGTTTTTAATTCTATTTAATTAATTTTTTATCATAATTTTATTTCTCGCAGTTCTTATAATATTATTATTATAATATAATTTTGATACACATTGTATTAGAGATAACAACATATACCAAATCTTTTTAATTTTTTATAATTTCGGTGATAAATTACAATAGAAAATGTTGAATACAAATTTCATAATGTTTTATATTTATAAACTAGTAATTCTTAACTATAAACATATAACTAATATCAGGATATAATTATGAAAGTACGAGTTGATGTAGCTTTAGGATAATCTAATAATAAAAAAAGAATTATTCTAAAAGTTAACACTAAAAAGTCTAAAACTAATTATAGAATTGCATTAAATATTATTATAATCACTGTCAGATATCATCTATACTTGATCCAACTATGCCATGACCCCTTGCTGGATTTTTATTAATTATTTTAAAAAGAGATGTAACAATTTATTTTAGTAATAGTATGATATATTTAAAAAAACAGACACTCACTATATAAGTAAAAATATTGATTTATTAATCTTCGTTTAAAAATCGTTTATACAAAACATGTTTAATATTCTGCCAATTTATAATTTTAGAATTTTGTAAAATAATTTGTTGTCTTATTTTTAATAAATGTTCTGAAATTAAATAAATACAGTTAAGTTGAGTAGTTAAAAATATTTTAATAAAATTGAATATTTACCTTCATAATTAAAAACATCGGCTACAAAATAGCTCAATATAACATTTGTTAGATGTTCATCAAGATTGCCCTGAGCCTTTTCAATAAATTTAGATTTATAGATTATTCCGGATTGTTCTGTGTCAGAATGTAAAATTGCACTTAACGTTTTATTATATTCTTCTACACATTTGTCTGGAATACGAGGATATTTATTCTTGTCAATTAGTGACAATATATTCGAACTTACATATTCCATTCCTAAAAATATAAGTTATTTTTAACATATAAATTAAATATGTAAAAACATTTTTTTCCATGTTAATATAATAAACAAAAATTTTTATAATAATTTATGAAAACTAATTTCTTATACTTTTTTTAGAAAAGTTGTCACCATTAAAAGTTGTATTTATTTTAGCAAATCCTACATTAAACAGCGTGGATTGTAGGATATTTGCATTTAAAACATTAAAAAATTAAAGCTGTATAACAGAAGTAGACATTATTTTTTTATCATAAGCCATTTATTTAATCGAAAAAAAATAATAACATTGATAATATTTTTTAGAATTGATATGAGATGATAATAGTAATGGTTTTGAGATGGTATGCGTTTTACCTTTATGTCACAAATTATATCTAGTATAAGATATTACTCTCAAAAATTGAAAAAATTTCCCTCGTTCCCCGTAAATGGAGGAAATCTCCAAAAAAATTACAAATTTAAAAATTGCTGATTTTCAACATTTTTTAAATTTTTTTTTTTACATAAAACTGCCATACATTTTTTAAAAATGACCTAATTACTATAATGATTATTTTATACATACATGAGGAGATTCAAAATTACAAATTTTTCACAAAATATGAACTTTTGAAAGTGTTCCGGAAATACTGGCATTTTTATATATACCTTAAATTAAAACTATTGTAATATACTTTATTTTGGAAAAAAACATTTGTTCACATGGTGAAAATAGTATGCTATTTTTGTATCAAAATTCTCGTTTCTATAAATACAACTTTTTTTCTTTTCCCCATACTTTTCTATTAGAAAAATGTTATTGCTAAACTTAACAAAGATATATATATATATATATATATTAATAAACATCCTTACCATTGAATCTTACCAATTTTTTATAAATTCCTTGTATCTTTTTGTCTTTACTATTTTTCATTCCATTTACACAAAAATTAATAGGCACAATATGTGAAGAATACCTTTTAGGTTTGCAATAGGTGTTGAATATTTTTTCTATATCTAATTCATCGGATGCATTAGCTTCCTTATAATTGATTTAAAAAATTATTATAATAAATAACCAAATAAATACTTGTATATGTGTTATAATTTATTAATTTATCTTTTTTAAATTAAAAATAATTAAATATTGAGAATTCTATAAATGTAATCTAGTAATTTTTTTAAACCAGAAATTTAAATAAATATAAAACTGTACCTATTTAAATTATGAAATCAGATATTTTGTGTTAAGTTTTAATTTATTTTTATATTATTGCGTTTATATTTCAGTGTTGGGTATTATATTTATCATAGACACTTATGTGTTTATATGAAAATGTGTAGTTTATATTCTTTATAAGTAAAATATACTTAGCTATGATAAACTTCTTTTTATATTACCTGATTCATTGCAAAAGAAGATGTAACGCATAATAACAAAACGGAATAAATTTGCCAGTACATTCTGCAATATATTTTAATAGATTTTGGTCAAAAAACAATGCAATTATATTTTGATATTGAATGTATAAATTGATTGAAAAATATTTAAAATATAATGCATATTTATACATAAAATAAAATAGAAATTGACTTATTTATTTATTAAAATAAGAAAAAAATATGATTTGCTTTTTTTATTTATTTATTCAAGTGTAGCTACAAACTATGTAATGGATGTTATAAATCAAACTTTTAAATAATATATTTTGAAAACTTTACAATCTAAAAATTAATAATCTACAGAATGTCATATGATTGTTCATTAATAAAGTAATTATAAAGTCTCTTGAAAATACTTTATTACTAGACTATAGAAGGCTGACTGATTCTTTAATATTCATATTCTTGTTTAGGCATAATATTAATTAGGTGATCCATTTCTTTCCATTTACAACAAATTTACTTCTAAAATGTAGCGATAAGCAAAATATATGCAATTTTTTTACTTTGGTACTTTCTCAATAAAAAATCCTATCTAGGCTACTGGTACTAACTATATACATAATTGTTTTGTAATTGGTTAGAACTAGTGAACTACTTGTAGTGCCGTTACTATAGTCCGTTAATTTTTTTGAAGTTGTGTTGTGAGCGAAATAATTTTATTAGTATGAAGTTTTTATTACGTTATTAAATTTTTGAAATTTATCACAATAAATTAGAATTTTGTATTTATTTACCGCATTGATTTCAGAGGAAGGACGTAACACAAAACAGCAATCCAAAATAAATGTTCCGTTGCATTCTGTTATAATTTATTAATAATATTGATTTCGATAGAGCAAACAAAATAGTGAAATTATCATTTGATTTTCTACTTATAAATTTACCATAGATAATAAAAAAGGATTGGACACTTGAAGTGCTTGAGGATATATCCATGTTTACAGATGAGTTCTGACGTTTCGGACTCATTGCAGAGTCCATCTTCAGAGTGATGGTTGCAAGTCGGTGGCTGCAACTATACTGAAATATTGAGTTCTGACGTTTCAGAACTCAACTGTAAACATGGATATATCCTCAAGCACTTCAAGCAACAAGACAATCCATGAAAGTTTTAACGCATTCATAAGAGGATTGGACATTTCTAATTGAGGCCACTATATTTTTGCTGTTCTGAACTGATAAAAAATTGAGGCCATTCATTTAGAATACTGAACATTATCTTATTTACATATTAAATGAAACATGTCGTATTGAGTTTTGTTGTTACGGCCTCAATTTTATAACACTCATAGATTATAAAAAATGGTTAAGCTATGGTTCCTCATCATACGTTTTAGAAGTCTGTCTTAGGCATAGATAATATAAAAATGGATCGTCTGTGAGGGTTTATCATGTACGAATAAACTTTTAGACAAAGTGTCTAAAACAAAAATGTTACCCCAATCCTATCTGAAAATATTAAAAGTTCGATCCAATCCAACCCGATACAAAAACTAAAAATCAACCCGATTCGACTCAATTTTGAATAACATTGTTAATTAATGTTAATACCATTTCAAATAAAAGTGAAATCGATTCTATGACAACACATTTACCTTTATCATTATATTCGACGTTTGTTGAAAATGTATTGTTTATGAGTGTTGTCATAATATCAGTTTTCAAAAATCATTATGTAATCATTATTACATTTGAACGATTACAAAAATTCTACTTTTAAATGTCGGTCACAACGGGATTCGTACCTTTTATGGCGTCTGGAAATTTAAAAGAAATGGGTCACCATCCTATTCAGCGAGACATATAAATTTGAACTAACATAGGATTTAAAAAAAAAAAATTAAACGCTAAACCCAATTTAATTATTTTATGAGTTTGAGAAAAAAATGCTTTAAGTCATTATATAATTAGAAAAAATAAATATTAAGTGTAAAAAAATAAAATTGTATCAGATGTTCGCTGAATCATGTACATCAAAAAACTCATGACTAAGGTTTCACTTTACCATGTTTAGATAGGATGTTCTCAAAAAATACCGTTCCCTATACCTTATAAACTAAGAGGAAATGATTATTGAATGATAATAGAAATAAAATACACGAGTCCATTGAATATGGAACAAAAAAAAAAATGTATTTATAATTAGGTTAAATTGAGGGGACTTTATTAAATACAAAAAATAATGTAAGTTAATACGAGGCAAAAACTGAACGGTCAAAAAACCTTGTCTGCAAATTAAAAGGATCAGAGATTAAAAAAAATGACAGAACTTGGTGAGACATCCTGGGGTTTAATTAGAAAAAATATGTTAAATAAATGTCAATAAATTATAATTTAACGAAAATGGAGGGGAGTATTCTTAATAAATCATACTGTATATAGTATTGATGCTTAACAGTAATACTTATTATGATGTTTTTTTTGTAACCCTAAATTAATCTCAAATACGTTATTTAGCTATGTATAAAGAAAATATGTAAGAAAAGAAAAATATTTTTGTTGCTTAATGTAAAAATGTTAAGCATATCAAAAATATTTAATAACTGCTTTATATTTAAAATATTTTTTTCAAAATATATTATTATTTATGAAAAATGTTTTTCATGATTTATTTGAACAGTACTATTAGTTTCAAATGTAGAATAATAATCAACAACATTATTGATTACGCAAAAAAAATGAACACTAAACAAATAGTCTTGCAGAGGCGCAACTGTTTATTAATTAAATTTTAGTGTTGTAAATTTTTTTCTTTGTTTCTAAGTTTTATAAATAAAAATGTACTTTTACATTGACTATTAACAATCAGTCTATGATAGGCTAGGCGAGCTACAGAAAAAAGCTCAGTGAGCCCCTTGTTACTTTAATTTTAAGCTAAAATAACTAATATTGTGGTTATAATAATATCAGGTTTTTATATATTTTTTTTATCAAAAAAGGAGAAAGAGTTCCATTTAAATCGACAACAATTTTCTCAACGCTGATATTTGTCTATATGATATACTAGTATCATCTAAATTATGACAAAACCTATATAATATATAATTATATAACTTAGGATGTTCCGTTCATTAGCCTCACAAAATATCTTTAACAAATATTATAATTTGATGTTTTCAGAAGCTAATAGTATTCTATGTTCTATAATTAAAAAAAAAAAAAAAAATTAATTTTATGTCTTTTAAAATAATATCAAAATTTAAACAAACATTTTTAAATATATATGTTTAATTAACTTAAAAAAAAATTATTTAACCAAGAAAATTACTAGTCGATAACAACTATTGACCAATTACTTAAAAAGATATTAGCACTTTTAAACTATGGCGAGTGGAGTAGTGCAGTTCTTAAATACGTTGTATTTTTTTATTAAATATTTTATTGTATGGGTTGGGTTCATACGAGATTTACGACGGTGTAAAAGTATTGCAATTTTAAATCATGTTCCACATAATACAATAACACCAATCCTCATGAGACAAGTTTTAAAATTTTGTGTTATACTATTCATTAATTTTTCATTCCCATTATTATTTTTGAATTCATACATTTGTATGATTAATTACAATTCAGCGTAGTTATTATATAATTATCGGTGCCTTACTTAAAAAAATAGAAAGTATTTAAGTTAATATTTATAACTTTCAAATATTAACTTAAATACTTATAAGTTATAAGCTTTGTAAAGTTCAATATAAACTCTACTTATGCATTCACATGAAGATTTTCTCAGAAGTTTTCGAGTTAAACAATAGAATGGGATCTAAATAAAAATTACATTTCCGCTACTAAAGATAATGCAATTTTCATTCGGAATTTTAAATTCCAATAAAAAAATATAACTTTAATAATTTGAATTATTAGTTTAGTGAAAAATAAATGAGATGTAAATTCAATGTTTTCACTAATAATATTACTGTAAATTGGTTGGTTCGTTCAGTTGTAATCTTGTAATGAACTGTACCTGATTCGCCAGTGAATTTCTACGTTTGTATAATTGATCGTCTTTACATTATTAATATATGAAGTTCCATTTATAATAGTAGTGTACCGACACTCATTAGTCGCAGTGTGCTTTTATGTAATTTAATATGGAACAAAGACCTTCAATCTTAAAATTATAAAAGTTCGGACAGTTAATAAACCTTAAATATGTCCTGATATTGGGTGGCATGACAAGAAATCTTAGAATCTAAAATTTCAAATATTAGTTTTTATAGTGATTAAAAATACTCATTCTGTCTTTAGCATTTACTTAAACAAGCTTACATTAGAGTCTTGTCTACTAAGTTAAGGAACATTTCTGTTATTTCAATAGGTAGATCTGTTTAAGTTAAACTAGTCTATTTACTTACATTTGCATTCATTTTTTATATATTAAGTATACGTGTAACTACATAAAAAAATGCAACTTAATAGTATTTTATTTAGAAATATATAATTTAATTGGGATAAATAATTTTTAAGTATCGAAATTTGTATAAAATTATACAGATACATATTTTGTATAAATTATAAATTATATAAAATTATGTATAATTATACAGACTATAACTCTTAATCAGTTATTAAACGTCTATGATAGATCAATGAAACGTTCTAAGAAACCCAACCCAACCAGTATAATATTACTAAGTATTTGATTGTTGGTTATTTTACTGAGAGTCATAATTCTAAAATACATTAGCAAGAGATTCACATTGCTTAAAAAATTTAAAATATGAAAGGTTTTAAAAAAATAGATTTTAACTTAATGTGACTAAATTGCTTATATAAGCCTAATCGTAGACACGATAAAATATAAAAATGAAATATTTAGACAAACTTCTATTGGAATATGCATAAGTAACCCACAATTAATTAAAAATATTTATAAATAATAATTGTGAATTAAATTCCGAAAAAAGTTTATTTAAATCAACAAAAATGAAATTGTATATGCGATATTATTAATTTATTACAACTCGAAAACAGGTCACACCAAATCAATTGGAAAATTCCAATTATAATTAATGTAATGTTTTAAATCATTACTTTTGAAATGAACTTTTCAAAACACTGATTTATCAACTTTCTACGTATCTGTTGATTCAAAAATTCATTAATTCAATTAGAGATTATGATTTTCATGGTAAAATGGACCCTAACTCTAATAAATCTTATTTCCAGACTCGGCATAAATTAATTTTGATTGATTCTTCTAAGAATAAGTTTTATAAAATTTATCTCGTTCTGTTGTAAAAAGTAACTCACAATTTATTAAAAAGTGGTGACTTCATTGTTCTGATAAATATTTTCAAATCATATCATTCCGATTCTAGTTTATAATTCCCACTTTTTCAAAATTTTTCGTTAAATACTTAGCTACAATTAAAATATTTTCTTTGTGTTTTTACTTACACACATATATCATATGAGTTATATAATTGTCTACTAATTATATTTTCATTCTTACAATCAAAAACAATTAATTATTCATTAAATTATCAGAACATTTAAAAGATTTGTATATATAAATTTTTATTGTATTATTTATTTCTTTTATTGATATGTTTGTTGTATATCGATAAAACTATACCTGGTATAGTTTTATAAAACATTTTATTGTTGATGTATTAGATTAATGTTGTTGTTGTTACTAAAAAATTTGATAAAATAAATTCAATTATGTAGGGAAATTGCCTATCTAATACGCCGCGGCATATTGTTTACATTTGGTGCGCAATATTAATATGTAGTAAAAAAGTAAATCAATTAAATATTAATTTTACACCTAAAATTATGTAGCTGAATATTACCTTATATTTTCAAGTGAACAATACTGTTTAATAGTAAGATAAAATCACATAAATCGCATAAAATCACTCTGGTTAGAAGTAATTGTGTGGCTGAGGTTCATGTATAATTTAATATTAAAGTAATGAAAATATGTCACTTACATATGAAAATTGAGATGAAATTTATTAGTAAAAATTAAAAATAGTAATCTTTATTAAAAAATAAAACACATTTTTAATTTTTAAATTTGCGCCAAACTAAATTAATTATTAACTTCATTGATGTTCTCTGCGAAAAAACAAGTAGACCCCGTGCAAACTATTTGGGCGAGTTATAAACAAAATAATGTTCTGTAAAACTTGTTTTTAAGTTTTACTGGGCCAAACGATAAATATTTAAACTATCACAAAGTAAATTACTTAAAAACAATTCCAAATAAAATTATTATAATAGCTTATAATTGTATGTCCGCGCTCAGTAATATTCTCCACCCAATCCAGCTAATATTCACGTTATGTTTTGATTATTTTGAAACAATCATTATTATATTTTTCAAATAGTAATTAGATAAATTTAAAATAAATATCGCTCAACAGTAGCTATGACGAGTTTCAGTCTCTAGTAGATATCGTTAATTTTTAACGATGTTTCCGATTGGTCGTCAGGCAAATACATGAAAATTTAAAATAGTAAACTTGTAAAACATACATACTATTTGCAAACTATAACCCTTCAAACAAAAGTTTAACACATTATCCTTCCATATAAGTTTTTGGGTGGGTTGGCTTATATATTTTTTTATTTCGTAGTAGTATCATATATACAATTATAAATTTATTGAATAATATGACAGGAATATTTCCGCAAAACCATACGTAAGTATAACGAGAAATACATTTTGCATAAGGTTGATATGGATTAAAAACGGAAACTCGAGATTGTAATTATATTTCATGAACGTTGATTTATTCAAATTTAATACAGCCATAAATACAACGAAGTTACATAAAAAGTGTAGTGTTTTTAATAATAATAATTGTCATACTATCAAGAGCTTAAATAATTGTTTCTTAAAGTATTTTTTTTTACCTTAAGGTAAACGCTTGACGCTTAAGTTAAGTGGTCAACCACTTTTAGACTACCTAAATATAAAAATTGTTCTTAATTTTTGATTTATAAATTTGACTTTTTCGTATTATCACGAAGTTAAAAAATATCCTCAATCAAAAACTTACATCGAAGAAATTTATAAAATTTTTTAGGACTTTATAAACTCCATAGGGTCTATATAACAATGAATGGATATAACAATCATTATTATATCCATTTCTACCCCATGTAGTAAAAGATAATTATTTACTACATGGATTTTATGTTGTAATTATAACAGATATATTAATTGTATTATACTGCGATATCATTTTTTACGTAGTTTTCTATTCTAATTCACAAAATGTGACAATCGGCTGAATATAAACGTAACTAGATGATAAGATTATTAGAAGTATATAAAGAAGTATTTTTAGGTCCGGATGTCAGTATGTGTTGAGTGCTGATGATAGTTCCAGAATATGTATACGCAATTTTTTTGATAATATCTATATTACCTTAATTATTTTATCACTTTCTTTATTCAGATGAAAATTTAAATGCTATATGAACCTAGATATATTTTTATAAAATTATCTTTGTCTTAACTTGATTTTTTTTTAGTTTTCCTAACCAAAACCTATCATTATTTTAAATCAAAATCTTAACTGCAAACAAATCATAGAGTTTTAGTCTCTGATATCTATATTTAACTGGTAATTACATAATTATTATCTAATTACCGTAAAAAACTTCTCCTAAAATAAGAATAATTTATTGATTTATAAATAAATATATTTCAGATCCATCCCTTATCCCTCTTAAGGATATCAAATTCGATTTTTTTCAATAACAACTTACATATTTAAAAAGCTCATGTTATATGAAATGATCTAACTAAAGAAGTGAAGGGCGAAAACCATTTTTTAACCAGTAGTTCGGGAGTTATAAATATTTTTTACCTTGATGTGAGGAGTAACGCAGCAAAGAAATGCATAATGATAAAAATAACATGAGCTATTTAAATATGTAAGTTGTTATTTAAAAGAATTAAGTTGATACCCCTTATAAGGGGTAGACTTAAAATATATTTAATTAATTGGAAATCGAAAAATAAATACTACTCATCAAAGCCAAATTATTTTATTGTTATTATTTTAGAAGAAACCTAGTGAGCAATACTTAATTAATATACTATTTAAACTTAATAATATATAGTATCTGTTATCATTATTACTTCTTACATAAGATTGTGTCAGGTCGACAGCCGGCGTAAAATGTTTATCAAAAAGTATGAGTTCGTATTTAACTAACTTAATTAAGTACGGATTAACGCAATCAATTAGCAAAGCTTAAAATGATATTACACAATGCATTCTGTTATAAAAACTCAAGGTCATTGTGTTATTGCTTCCTATACATAAATCCTCACTCATCCTTTAGTTAATATTTAAACATTATATCTTATGGTTTTGGAAACGTTAAACGTGTAGCATACATGTTAATGTTATTCAAATCAATCAATCTAAAAACTGTATTTAATAATAATAGTACCACAAACCTTAATTAATCTTAATCAGTTGATCCACTAAGATTACACGCAACTTAATATGTTTCTTTTGATGCATATTGCAACAATCTTGGACTCAATATATATACATCATTTTTTTTTGTAATTAAACAGCAAATTTATCATCATTGACGTAAACTGTGAAAACAATTTATATGTTGAATTTATTATGTTGATTGAATTAGTTATAATACATAAACCCTATTTGCGCCTAAATGAATCTTAAGTCAATTAGTGTTGTGCAGTAATTTAACTCGAACTAACAGTTAGAGTAACGAAACTATTTATAAAATAATTTTATTTTAATTTCAATTAATTATTTAGAGATAATTTTTTTAGATTACTCGATACTTTATTTTGAACGATTTATTTTAAAAATATACATTACCCTTTAATGGCTTCTATAGAATTTTATACTGAGAATTTTACATAAAAAGAAACATTTTACCTCCTCCCAAATTTGTCGAAATTTATGTATTTTTTAAGTCCTTCAATCTCGATAGACGTTTTTTACAGCAATTTTCATATAAATACGCCTGAGGGTAGTAATCAAGATTAAAATAATACTATTCAATTTAATTATTTTACTATATTTTACATTAATTTTATTCTTATATTTTTATTGTGCAATTTAATTAAATAAATTTAGTGAAATTAGTGAAGTATTTAGAGACGGCACAATAACGTATGCCTTCCATTAGCAGGGCTATGCTAATATAAAAATGTTTATTGACCTTATTTTGTTAAAAATCAGCTTAAAAAGAGTAAAAAAGGGTCGCATAGAATTTTTATGGTATCTGGTCAGTTAAAAATTTTATTGTGCGTTTCTTTCCCTATTATGAAATTTTTAATACGTTTTTAAGTGAATTTTCGTTATAACTGGTTTAAGTGATTACTTTATATACATTTTATATTAAACATATACATTAAAAAAACTTGCATTGTAAATAAGTTACTTTTTTATCATAAAAGTAATGTAACTTTATTACTTTTATGAATTTTTTTAATGAAAGAGTTCGGTGGCATTATTCTCAGAAAATTATTCTCCAAAATAAAAAATCAAATTTTAGCACTCTGTAAGCGTTTAAGATTTTAAGATAACCTGCTTGCTTAAGTTAATGTGCTCATTTTTTGTTATGGTCCGAAATTTTAGATCAAGCCATGGTCTAGTCAACCCGAGTCGTAGTTTCACCTGAAATTAATTCATATTTTTTAATAAAAATGTACAATATTTAAAAAAAATTTGTTTCTATAAAAACAAATAATTAAAAAAAAAAATTAATTTTCTGTTTTAGTACATGGGAGCATCGATGGTGTTGGCTCCAGCTACTGTTACTTACGCCACTGTCAATCAAGATGACATGTTCAATATATAAAATTAAGCAGTCATGTTAAAATAAGAAAAGAAAACAAATGAATACTAATATTATTTGAAATCAAATCTATTAATCAGAATAAGCATTTTCACCAGTTTAAGTCCTTACTTTTAGAATGGATGTGTAGCTAAAAAGGTATTGGTCTTAGTTTCTTTTTTTTTTTTTTTTTTTGTGACACTATACACGATTTCTCCGCTACAATTGGACCGATTTTGCTCAACGATACGTCAAAATATTACAAAACGTATCTTGTTGAAATTAAACGTGCCATAATTTTAAAAAATATCCCTTAAATCCTGTAAATAAAGGGAAATGTGTCAAAAAAATATAGTTGTTATAAAACAGTCCATGTTGGTATTTTCAGTTTTTACTTTGTATTGAAATAACTTTTTTTTAACGGATAAAATAATATGTTAGAAACCTACAAACTAGCAAAAACGTCAAAAAATACATTTTATACATATTTTAAAATTGTAAAAGAAAAATCTTAAAATAGTTCATTGTTTTTCTATATAAAATTAGTTTAAATATTTTTTCATTAAGGGAAATAAATCGTAAGCGAATTTGTGAAATGATGAGCTGGTCAAAACTTTGCCCTAGTTCACTTTTATAGATAAGACGTTATAATTATGCCCTAGTTGAGCATAATCTTAAATGATACCCCTGAACAACATACTTTTTTTGGAAATCCAATTAGATACTGTGGGTTTAAAAATCATATCAACATTTTTTTATATTTAATATTTAAAAATGCTCCAAAAAACCTGATTTCTTCAAACGTACATTAAATTAAAACTAATATGATATTATGATTAAAATGAAAGCAGAAAAACTATCCCAAATTTCGATTTTTAGATTATTGAATATTAAATTTTAAAATCATATAATATTTAGTAAAAATGGCCGATTCTCAACTATTTTGCATAGCAATGGAATACCTAAATCATTTAAAACTAAATAAAATTTAAGATTTCTTGTGTACTATACAATTAAAAATGTAAAAGACTTATCGACGGCTGGTCTTTTATATAATCAAAAATTAAACTTTTGAAAAAGTTTTAAATTTAGCATTTGTTTCGAAACCTGTTTTTTAAATTGTTACGTGTAATATGCATAGAAACGTTTACACAAAAATGATTTCAACCACTGTCAGATATCAATCGATACTAATATGAAAAAATGACTCAACTACACTTTATCCCGACTGTACTTTTATTTTACGTTGTGTTCAACGAGTTATTTTTTATTGGTTAAATAACCATTATGAAATGTTATTGATGAAGAATTTAATTATTACCCTATCTTGATTTTTTGACAGCATTTTCCCTAAACTTTGTGAAGTATATCAAAAGTAAACTTATTTGATTATCGTCATATCATTTTCGATCGTTGACAGAATATCCGTTTTTTTGTTGTTGTTAAGATTTACGGCATAGTTTATATTTGATCAAGTATATGAAAGTGTTCAACTTTTCCCCTTAGGTGTGAATTCCAATATATTAAGATAAAGTATTATTATAGTGTCAAAAATTAATGTCGGTATAATACAGATATTGAAATTTTAACATTATATTATAAAAGTGTTATTTAAATAGACATTTATGATTTTTAAATCACAAAAACTTGTATATTTACCTATAATATATAATAAGATAAAACACATCACCTTGATGAGAAGCGATCATTTTTTTCCCCATGTTATCAATTTATTTTGAATTCATTTTAACAACCATATCAAATAACCAAATATAAGCTGAATATCAACTCTTTACAGCTATTCTTTTAGATTATATAATCTATTCTTATAATGTGTTCTAACCTGTGTACTGTGTTATTATTATTGTATTTTTATAATTAGTGGTTTTAGAAATGTACATTTTATTAATTGTTACTGATTCGTGTGTAACGTAAAATAAATCGAAAAAACCATTGCTTAAGAACTATGGCAAAGATTTATTATAAGATTGTACGGCAATAATATTTCCTTTAAATATCATTGTAATTAATATTATTTTCTGTCTTGAACTGTGATTCAGCAATAAAATTTGTTACCATCGCTACTATATTTCTGTGATTAATGATGTAAAAGCACAACTTTTAATTCTAATAAGTTAACAATAGTGCCTAACTGTATTTACAAGGCGTTTTCTTGAAGTAAACAATTTTTTTTTATTATTAAATTCCTAGAAATATGGAAAAAAATAAAAATACATTTTTTTCAATCAAATAATTATTTGTAAATCAATTTCAATATCATTAATTAAATATATATTTAAGTACCTACTTGGTAGTATTCATATTTTCATTTTTAGGCAGGAAGAACAGTGTTGAATTCAGATTTACATCAGGGAGCTCGACATCCCCTTGAATTTCGATAGCCCCCCCCCTAAAAATTTCAGGATGACAACGATAATATAGCTATTTTCGAAAATTGACACGATGTTTCGTTTAATAATTAATGAAAACCTTTTAATGAAATTTTATGAAAATATAGTAAGAAAAAAATTATTCTGCATGTCTCTGTAAAATATTCTAAATTCAACATTGAGTAGGACCGTGTGGCGAGAAATATTTAGTGATTAAAATAGCAGTATCCATACTTTACCTTCAGTCTATAATTTAAAAAGCTAATAGCTTCTGAAGTTCTATCCCGAAATTTGTTGTCGACCATTCATAATTTTCTATTTTATGACCTAAGTTAATATATATGCTGCCATTTAAAGAAATAAAGTTAATATTCCTATAAGATATAAGGGATAAACTAAAGAAGTACTTAGTAATCAATAAATTAAGAAGTATACAGAATGATTTTTTTATCATAACCTATTTATTACCAATAGTAGTAAGACACATTGTTGTGATTTAATAAATACATTAACTAGCAATACAGAAAGCATATCTATTGATAGTCATAATTGACAATAAACATTTCATGACTGTGATAGCGACGTCATAAAAAAACAATGAGGAACCTGCATTTGTAATCTTTGGTGTATTATACATGTATATTTTTTTCAAAATTTGAAACTTCAAAGTTTTATTTCTAATATACAAATAAGATTATATTGAAAATTCAAAAGTCATTTTATATTAAATTTAAAAACTTTAACATTTTATTAAATTCACAATATGTATTCCCATTAGAAAAAACAAAGTTGTCACCCTTAGAAGGCATGAACTTAAAAATTATTACATAGTTTATAATTCAGAAATAATGTGTAACTAAAGATAACCAAAAATAATTTTATTATTTTTATTCTGTCAGTAATTCAGTGGGTTTAGATAAAAAAATCACTCTGTATGTAAGTAATAAAAGAAAAAATATATTACCGAAATTATTTTTATTTTGTAAATAATTTAGTGGGTTTTGATAAATGGATTACTCTGTTATTATATTTATATTAAATGTTAACGGAATATTAAAAGAATAATGAAAAATATCATGTTAGTATTTAAAGTGTGTAACTTAAATCCATAATTTAAACATACGATTATAAATCAAACAAAATTACATTGAACTATAATAATCAATCTTTCTTATAAATTTCCCCTTTAGTTTTTAAACATATTAAACAATTCTTAGTATAACAATCAGAGGTGTATTCATGTTGGGTAGTCATAAGGGTCAATCTACACTTTTGGATAAAAAATTTAGACCATATTAATCAAAATTTAGTTATATGCCTATTATATTTTATGATGATACATAATTTTTTCTTTTTGTTATAGTATAATCAATTTCAAGTTTATATTTACGAAATAAAAATGTTTAGAGACAACCTACTAATATAATTTAATTAGTATACAATTCAAAAGAATTATTAATAAGAAAACAAAACAAGTTTTATTTATACGTAATATCATAACATATATATATTATGCATAAATGATAATCCCGTTTAGCTTTAAATTTTATTAAAATGAATTATGTTAACATTCTATTACATTAGATCCTTGAATAATTACTTATTAAATTTTAGAATTTTACATAAATTCCAAAAAAAGTTAAGTGGTATACTGACAATAATTTATTTTGCATAAATTATTTTTCATCTTACAAATTATAAATAATTGTTTTTTTTTTATCTTCTTGCAATTTTATTAAAAATTCAAATTCAGTCTACGATTTTAAGCCATAATTTATTTAACTTTATTTAAATTCTTTGTCAGGAATCGCTGAGGTTTATTATTATGTATATATTTTTAAAATAAAAATGTAATATCAATTGTAATTTGTAAGATTATATATCCTTGTTGTTTTGTTTTTAAACTGTGTAATTTATAATGTGATACAATTTTATCGCTAATGGATAACAAATATTCATTAATATTAATATTAAATATTTTTGAATGGTTTTTGTTAGAAGATGGTCAAATTTTGTAATTTTTTGATTATTCATTCATTTTATTTTTAAATGTTTACCGCGTTTCGCAAAATACTTTAAAACTCAGTTGATATGTCAACACAGATACATAATAAATGTTTTATTAAATATCTGTATATATCGATGTTTTTTCTCTAAGTAGTGTTTAACTAATTTTTTATTGTAACTTTAATTTTAAAAATCCATTAACCACTAAGAAAAAAATATTTAGTATTTTAGGTCTACTAAAAAATATTATTTTTAACAAGACCAACTTCTAACAAGGAACCGCCCATTTATTAGACTTGAATTAATATCAATGATGTGTTTCTTGTTTAGACTTCCATTTACTTGTAATTATCATGTTATGTTAAAACGTTATAGTGTTATAAGCTTTTATTTTAAACAAAAAGATTTTGATGTTGAAATTAATGTGATCCATAAATATTGTAAATAAAATGATCTCTTTTTCATAAAGTTTGTTATTTTTATTTTTATGTTAAAAGTTATGAATTTTTATTAAATAGTTATTATTAATTCTTTACTAATAAATCATGTTTTTTTAAATATGCAACAACGTATATATTTAAATATTAAAACTTAAAATATTGTAATTTTAAAAAAAATTACGACATATTTGACTTATATGTTATAATTTATTATAATGTAATCAATACTTTAAATAATTTATATAATGAACATTAGGAGTAGCTAAATTTTTAAATAGATCCAACAAACCTAGAATCCTACAATAAAAATAATTTTTCTTTAAAAAATTCAATTTAATAAACAAATTACATCGTTATGTTGTTTGGATATTAGTCGGGACTAAGAATTTAAATACAACACAAACCATTTGGTTTGCGTACAGTTAAAAACAATTATTATTAGGCAAAATTAAGATATAAAACATAAATAATTTTTTTTTATTCTCTTAAAAGACTTAATTGGCATAATTAACCTTCAACATAGCCAAATACAACCGCTGCGTATTTTAGCAAATCGACCATTTATCACGTAATCTATCATTAATGATTTTCCATAACTTTAACGATAATTATTAATATTTGACTTGTTTGTAATTTGAATCTGATCAAATGTTAATAAATAAACATAGTCTTAGAGATCCTTTGTGTGTAACTGCAGTGACTAAAGGCTTTGTTTCAATTATCATTTGTCGTAACACATGTACAAGTTTCTTAGTAAACTGAACATGATGGAAATAATTCTATTGAGATCAAATCTATATGTATAGTAATATGCATCGTTTTAACCATGTTAGACGTTATTAAAATATACTTGGAGATTTTACCATTAAACTAAAAACCTGGAATATAACTCCTCTCTTTATCATTTACTATTTCAGTAAAATTTAACGAGAAAAAATACTTTATTATTGATTTACTTCCGTTATCATTATTAATCTAATTATTATTAATCATTATTAATATTATCTAAATTAATACCAATATATTCTTATCAATTTATAAATAAGTTGTCTATGTTTAGTAAAGATTTTTTCAGACAAATCGCTAAATTATCCTCTGTTAAAGTTAAAACATAATACCTCCAGATCAATTTTAAACATATTACATAAGTGTTAAATCGTGCATTTATTAAGTTATTTTTCGTTTAAATAACTATCAGGCACTAAATAATAAATATTCAAACACTCAGCGGTTAAAAAAAAATAACTTACTAAAAAAAACTTGAATTATGCTTGTTATTTTTATTCCTCATAAGTTTAGTGAAGTCGAATGAAAACTTTTTTGACACCAATTCACTAACGATAAATTATCCCTTATGCATTGGTAATACATAACATTATTTCTGACTTCAAAATCAAAAATACCTTTATTTTTTTTTTTAACGCCTTCCAGTTATTACCGTCGTAAAATTTCGTTTACTTCAGATCGACTGTGTTAGTATCCTTTTCATTTGACCTGTCGCCTCCATCCGGATACGATCTTGTGTTTCCTTCCATTTGTCCGGAAGTATTGCGCTATGTGGATAGCGCACCCAAATATGATTCATTAAACGAAAGTCCCTTACATGTCATCTCCAACTGACCCGGATAAGTTTCCATTCGTTCTTTACAACGGTTTTTATACACCCCATGAATGTGATTCTGACATCCAAAAGAAAGGATTACGGTTTGTTTGCCATTGGCTCAATTACATAACAACCAACAAGTCGTTCTGTGACGTTTAACTAAATATTAACCGGGAAATCGCCCATAACAATAAATCCCAGTTGAAATATTTCTACTCTCCTCTCAAACTTTATTTATAGCTTTAAGAATTTTTAACTGACAGTTTTATTTGACCTAGATTCCTTACCAATAATTTTTTTTAAACAGACAGAAAACATATTGTACGGTAAAAACAATTTTGCTAATAATATTTAGCAAATATTTTATTATTTTATACATTATGCTTGATTACATATAATTTGCTTGAAATAAAATCATCTCTGCAAAAATATTTTTAAAATCTTGCATAATTAAAAATATCATAATTATTTATACGATGTTTGGAATTTTCTGTTGCACATAATTTCTTGGGCGTTCTACAAAGAATATTAAGCAAATATAATAAGTATAAAATTTATTGTTACCATTATTTTTTTATTGACTCATTATAAGGTCATTAGTTATTTTATTTTTAATTGATATTGAACAAAAGGAGTTATTTTATTAACTAATAAAAAGAATATAACGGAATCTAATTTTTACAAGTTTATTCTAACCCCTTAAGGATTTAGAATGAATTCATTTATACGAACTTGTTAGTTTTCAATTTAATGAATTCATGATTACTTTCAATTTTTACAGTATGAATATCTGTTTTATAAAAAAGTTTTAATGAAAGTCATCACAAAAGTATTTTTTTTTAGTGAATACAAATGTATTTGTTTTTTTATTAATGTTCCAAACTCTGGTATATACACCCAAGAAGATTTTTTAGTGTTTAGTAAAAGTATTTAAACAGCAGCCTATATAAGGAAATCTATTTTCATTAAGGTTATTGTTGACACAAAAATACTTCATAAAAAACAAAATCAGATTTATTTATGTACGATGACGGGCAGACTTTTTTTTATAACTTAAGAAAGTAAGTCATATCAGATATTGAAGCTTAAATACTTCATCATNTATTAAGGTTATTGTTGACACAAAAATACTTCATAAAAAACAAAATCAGATTTATTTATGTACGATGACGGGCAGACTTTTTTATAACTTAAGAAAGTAAGTCATATCAGATATTGAAGCTTAAATACTTCATCACGTTGACGAAAGAAGACGTTGTTTACTTTTTGCATATTATGTTAAACTGTTTATGTAAATTATAACTATTAATGACTGATTTCATTTCCAAGAAGACTTACATAGGTTTTATCGTTAGTGAATTATGGTCTACAATTAAAAATAGCTAAATATGTTCATATTACATTTTGTCGTAAACGCGATTACGAAACATTTGTAATAACATAATAGTAAAAATATAATAACTATATCTCTTATTAAACACTCAGGCAGTATACTTTCAACAGATTTGTCATTTAATAAACACATTTTTAACACTTATAATAAAGCTTTACAAAGTTATGGGTTTTTAAACGTAATTGTTTTGAGTTTTCTAATCCTTTATATTTTAAAGTTTTGTACTTTTTATCTTATAATATCTATAGTTGAATCCATTATTTCGTCTTCGTATCAATTTGGCTTAAAGGATAACATTGAAAGCTTACAAAGGCATTTTTTAAGAATGTTAGCTTACAAAGCTAATAGTAATTTAAGAGATATACAATCTATTGCTATAGAATTTAATATTTTGACGTCGTTGCCTACCTATATGTTTGATTTGTGGCCTAATTAACAGTTCTATTTATTGTCCTTAAATATTTAATATAATTTCATTTAATATTCTTAAAGTTAATTTACGTGATAATTCATTATATTACATTCTATTTCAAAGGCAAAACTAAAATTATTTTTCTCCAGTCAATTGAATTCAATTTGCTATGGCCCTTTAGTCAAAATTAGACTCTACTTAAATAATAATTACTAGTTTTTCTCTGATTTTTTTTAAATTGTTATTATTTTTAGGTGTATTCAGTTTTTTTTTGTTACTTGTTGTTACTGAATTTTATTATCAAATAATATTTTATTTATAAGTTTTTATTTCTGTACTTTATTGCCTACTCGGCGTTATTATTATAATTAAATTGCATTAGATAATTTTAATTTAAAATTCATAAATAAGTTTCTAAATGGATTTACTAATACCTATAAAGTGAGATGAATATGCATCGTAATACAGTTATAATTTGCATAGAATATCAAATATTCTGCTGAGTTTCGCTTTAATTAATAATGTACTTATAAACATCTTTAGATATTAACTTAACAAAGAATCCAACTTAATAATTAAAAGACGACTAAAATATTTATATATTGATCACAATAGAAACTTGCATGTATATATGTCTAAGTCTAATATTTTTTCATGAATTCTGATTAGCGATAGTCGATTTGTGTTTTTCCAATAGGTTAATAAGAACTCAAGAATATTTAATAATATCTGCCCATCATACACGTATTCAGATGAGAGAGTTTATGGG